TTTCTTAGCAGGTTCATTTCTCAATCTTTTTCCTGGTGGAGTCAAAAGGGCACGTTTGTCCATCCCCATATACTACATATTCATACCTGTCTCGACTTCCCTCCATGTCTCAATCAATCTACATGCCACACTGTCATTCATGCACATTTCTAAGCTTCAAAACTGTACTCAAGATTCCTGTCCCCTAAGAGAGATTTTCTGCTAACACTGCTAATTTAATCAACATGTGCTGCATACTAGTATAACTAGCATTCTCCAAACCAGCTAACATTTGATTAAATTAACATTTATCTGTGTGTTGCTTTGTGAGTGCAAGCCTTGCCTACACTGTTTTCTGGTATACAGTAGACAAATATCTTTTTGTCAAGCACTGCCTAGTACACACCAGAAAACAATGTAGGCCAACCTATATCTTTCATATCTCTGAAAGGCCATGCTCTTCAGGATCTCTCTAATACCGTAACTGTACACTGTGGTACTTAGCAAAGATGACTATTTCACTAGCTCATTAGGAAAGCTGTTATATGCAGTTTTAAGAAATTGCTGCAGTTAAAAGTGGGAGTCACATTGGATATAAGGCCAAACTGACCTTGTTTTACTTCCCATCAACATTAAAATGATGTATCATAAAATATAAGTTGATAAAAATACTAGCATTTAAAATACTTTACTTACCACATTCTAAACCTTTGTATGCATAGCCCACAATTTTTTTTCAGTAGATGATATATCAGAAATAGCAGACTTGACTACTCAAACCAATAGCCAGACTTACTAAAAACAATTAAATTGCTCAGCTAAAAAAAAAAAAAAAATCCCTGAAAACATCAGAGGTGACATGATAGTGAGGAGCTATTAGGACTAAGGCAGTGGTCGCCAAACTCATTAGATAACAGAGCCAAATATCAACAGTACTTCAAAATAGACTCGCCCAGGCCGAAAACCGACTTCTGCGCATGGGCCAAGAAGTTTCTATCGCACTGTACGCGCGCCTGCACGTGGTATTTTGTGGAAGAGCCACACTCAAGGAGCCAAAGAGCCGCATGTGGCTCGCGAGCCGCAGTTTGCCGACCACAGGACTAAGGGAAACCGGGTATCTGCCACAGCCAGTATATGTGGGTTTCTGTTCTGGCAGCTCTTAAAAGAAAGGGAGGAAAAAGTCAAGGCCCAGGAGCCCACCCAAAGTAGTGGATATTATAAGGGACACTGTCCACATTAAGCTGGGAACTCAAAGGATTACAACAACAGGATGGGTGTGAACCACATATAAACCCAATTTCTACCACTAACTTTGGGGAACTGCAGGGATGGTTACCTTTGCCTTGGCACTAAAAAGAATCCTATATAATAAAGAGCTAATATGCTAATTAGACCAAACAGTAGAACGACCATCTGGACGACCTTCTGGACAACCTTCCTGATGAAGCCAGGTCTATGAGGGCCGGCAGAGGCTGCGAGGGCCGAGCCCCTTACACAAATTTTGTGCATTGGGCCTCTAATAGGAGAAATAAAAGGAAATTTAAAAAAACATCATGGAACTTGTAGTCAAAGACCCTATGTCTTGTGGTCCTGGCAACCAATGACTTGGCTTAAGGTGATTCTGGAATGGTAGTATCTAAAAATGTTCAATGGACACATAAGCATAAACTCTTTGGAGAATTGCATCTTCTTCCTAGGCCTCAAGAATCACCCCCTAATTTATTTTTTAAGAATACAGAGTAGCACACAATTAAAGCACGTGTGGGAAAAGGTCTCATGAATCAGAATCAGTAACATATCCACAAATATTGGAAATCTCAAATACAGATTACAGAACAGCTATGCTTATTCTATATCTAGAAATGAAAAACCAGGTAAAATGTATCTGCAGAGAATAAGAAACTATAAAAAGTAACCATGCTGGTTTTAAAAAGATCACATACAACTTCTACAAATAAGAAATATAACCAAATAAGAAAGAAGGAAATACATTATAAAGGGTTAATTAAAAAAGTAGTGATTTGGAAGATAGGTCAATTACTATATAATATACAGCCAGAGGGGGAAACAATGGAAGAGAAGTTAAGACACATTGAAGATGGAGTGAGATGGCCTAAAATACATTTAATTATAATTACAGAAGAAGAAAATAGGGTAGGGAAGAGGCAATATTTGAAGAGGTAATGGCTGAGGTCATCCCAGAACGGATGAAAGATAGCAATCTATAGATTAGAGAGGCCCAGAAGCTCTTGAGAATTAAAAACAAACAAACAAACAAACAAACAAAAAACTGTACTTAAAGATAGCATACTGAAAATATAGACAGACAAAGACTAATAAAAAATTTGAAGCATACAGAGAGGAAATCAGGCATTATCTTCAAAAGAATAATAGGCTTATTGCCAACTGCTCTATAGCAACAATATAAGCAATAAGACAGTGAAAAATATCTTCCATGTGCTGAAAGAAAATAACTGCCTATCTAGTATTCTCTACTTAGAGAAAAACTTTCAAGACTGAGGGGAAAATACTTTCACTTTAAGACAACAAAAATTAAAAGATTTCATCCCTACCAAGCCTCAAGGACCTTCAGACAAAACTTAAGTAATTCCAGACAGATGGGAGGTGTAAAAAAGAAAAGAACAAAGAAATGGTTAATGTGTCTGAAAATCTGAAAGAACATTGACTCTATGTTCTTTAAGGTTAACAAAGTCTTTAAGATTAAACAACACAGGTAGAATAAAAGGCATGACAAAACAAGCATTAGGTCATCAGTGGGTATATGGAGGTAAATTATTCTAAACACCTCAGATTTTATGAGAGAAGGGTAAAAGAGGGATTAGCACTTGATTTTGATAACTTAGGTATACCCACTATAACTTCTAGAATAAAAACCAAAGTAATTAAAAATTGAGCCTATAATTTTAAAACCAGGAGGAAAAATGGGATCATGAAAACAATGCATTCAGAAGTCAAAAAAGGAGAGAAAAAATTTTAAAATAGAACAACAGAAAGCACAAACTAAGATGGATAAATTAAAGCATTTAAAAGTAATGATATTAAATGTCTAAGAGCTAAACTCCAGTAGAAAGAGAAAATTTTTTTCAGATTGAATTAAAATGAAATCCAATCATGTTATCTATAGGAAACAAACACATCTACAATACAAGAATACAAAAGGATTAAATAAAAATTCAGAAAATGATATACTATGCAAATAACCAATAAATTAAAACTGGTGTTGCTATATTACTGAGACAAAACTGACTCTAAGGTAGAAAGCATTATTTATTAAATATCATAAGAATCATTTCATATTAACACAACATTCAGTTCCAAGAAGCCATTATAATTTTAAATGTGCATTAACCTAATTGTATAGCCTAAAATATTCATAATGCAATAATTGACTGAATTACAAAACATAAACAATTAAAAAACAGAAAAATCCATAACCATAGTGGGAGAGTTTAAAGATTTTTCTCAGTAACTGAAAGGAGATTTTAAAAATTCAATAAGAATATAGGATATCTGAGGATCATGATTAAATCTTCACCAAATAGAAATATGTACAACACTATAACCAATAACTAGAGAATGCCCAATTTTTTAAGCACACAAAGACCCTTCATAAACACTGACCTTATACTGGACTTTAAAAAACTCAGCATATTTCTAAGGTGAAAAATCATACAGAGGATGATCTTTTACCATGAGTAAGAAATCATTTAAACATAACTTTAAAATCTCCACATATTTGGAGATCAAAAATACATTTCTAAATAATTATTGAGTCAAAGGAAAAATATGCTGGAAAACAGAAAATATTTTCTATAAAATAGTAGTAAAATACAAATATTAAAAATTGTGGTATGTAGCTAAAGCACAAGATAAGAAATAAAGTTTATGTTTTGAAATATATTAGAAAAAAAGATTTAAACAGACACTTCACAATGCAGTCTCATTATCAATGAGAGATACAAATTAAAACCACAAGAATGGTAAACAACATGAACTTAGAGAATTTGAAACAACAGAAACTCTCATACATGTCTAGTGGGGGTGTCAATCTGTATGGTCCTGTTAGAAAACAGATTAACGCTATCTGTAAGTTTGAAGAAAAAATATTTTTAATACAGGACCACATATCTCATTTTTCCTGGGATAATCCCAGTGTACACCTAGTTCCCTTGTGTCCTGTCAAGTTTAGCATTTATCCTACACAAAATTGTCCTAGTTGGAACATTAATTACGGTGACCCTATCTGCACCCAAATTCTCCAACTAGTTATACGGCAGAGAAACTCATGACGATTATGTACACAAGAATATTCATAGCATTATTTCTTATATCAGCCCCAACCTGGAAACAACCCAAATATCTAACAATGGTAGAAGAGATAAATATATTGTGGTATATTTATACCGTGAAATAACACAAAGTGGTGAAAATGAAAGCACCACTGCCAAGTACAAAGTCTAATGCACAGATCAGCAAGGATATACCTTAGAAGCTCACGGCTGAGCAAAGCAGCAATGCACAAAAGAAACGTACAGTAGGATTTTACTCATATTAAGTTTAAAAACAAAATAGGCAAAGCTAAATAAACTATGTTGTTTTGAATATGAATTCACTCATATTTGGAATCTAATGAACAAAATAATCACACTAAATAGAAACAGACTCATAGCTGTCAGAGAGTAGGGAAGAGATGGGCTGGGTGGAAAAGGTGAAGGGATCAAACAAAAAAAACCCAACCTCATCTACAGACAACAGTATGGCTATTACCAGAGGGAAATGGGGGTGGGGGAAGGCAGGAGAAGGGAAAGGCGGTGTAAATGGTGTTGGAAAGAGACATGACTTGGGGTGGTGAATACACAATACAACATACAGATGATATTTTATAAAATTGTAACCCTTAAACCTACATAATTTTATTAACCGATGTCACCCCAATAAATTCAATAAAAAAATAAAATAGACAAAACTAAATTACGTTGTTTTGAAACACATGCCAATGGTAAAACTGAAAGTAAAAGTGTTTATTTCTTGGAAAGAGAAGCACTGCTGTGGTCAGGAAGGATTTTACTCATATTGAGTCACCACTGTGGGACAGAACATTCCAGCAAGAGAAGACAGCAAGTGCAAGGGCCTGTCGGCAGAAATGAGCTTGGCACGCAGAGAACATATTGATGTCACTAGACCAGAGCGAGAGGAATGAAGTCAGAGAGGGAGACAGCCAAGAGCCAGATGATGCACAGCCCTGCAGGCCAGGATGACCCATTTAGATTTTACTCCAGAGCAGAGATAGGGAGAGAGGCAGTGCTCTTATGGGGGCTCCTTGTGGGTACACCTGTGCCAGGCAAGGGATGGGGTGATGAGAGGAAATCTCAGAGGACGGGAAACGTGAGCTGAACTTCAATGACATGAGTAAGAGTCAAAAGCAGAGAAAAAGAGGATGTGGAAGTCCCCGGGACAGCAAGTGCAGAGAACTGGAAGCAGTTCCCTCTAACATGCAAGAAGGGACTGAACAAGTACTGGTGAGCCCAGCCGGTGTGGCTCAGTGGTTGAGCGTTGACCTATGAACCAGGAGGTCACAGTTAGATTCCTGGTCAGGGCACATGCCCGGTTGTGGGCTCCATTCCCAGTGTGGAGCCTGCCGATCAATGATTCTCTCTCATCGTTGATGTTTTTATCTCTCTCTCCCTCTCCCTTCCTCTCTGGTGAGCCCTGTGAACTTGAGACCATGAGAACTAAGGGTCAGGGCCATGTCACAACCTTTGCCCTCGTCTCTAATTTGGAGGCTCCATCCTAAAGCATACTAAGCATATATATTAGCTTGTAAGCCACATCCCCTATTAGTGTTTTATCTGTTTCAAAAAAAGAGAGTCTTTAATTTTTATAACTTTCAGTTTAAGAAATATAAGGAGATGGCCAAATATATATCTTTGGTGAGCCTGTATGATGGATACATAGAAATTCATTACACTACTCTTTCTTTTTTGGTATCTATGTTTTATTTCCTTATTAAAAGTTAACATTAACTGAAAGAATTGTTACTTTGCAGCTATTAAAATTTTATTATATTTATATATCTTTGCTTTGAATCAAGCCATTAAATTCTGTCTTGCAGACATTTAATTAAACATTTAATAATTGTAGGGATAAAAGGATTTTATTTGAGATCATTATCAGAGGCATAGGATTATTTTTTTAAATGTCAAAAAAATTATACTAATGGGATTTTATAATAATACCTCCCTTACATTTTTTATTTACTTATTTGATTGTCTTCCTAATGAATTCCTTATTTTTGAAGGAAGGAACTCTTCCTAAAGCTAAAACACTTAATGAAGATACAGTGTGCAAAGTATAAAGAGAAAAAACTGGCAAAGAAAAAAAATGCTGCTTTCTTTTTTTTTCTCTTTTCTCTTATCTCATATTTATATGCAGATTTAGAAAACTGGCTGGCTGCAGGCATATCTGGATGTGTTTCTTAAAATTAAATGCATAAATTAAAAATACCTAATGCATCAAATCATTCAAAGCTCAAGAGAAATCCATGTGGCAGCTTAAAATCTTCAGCATGTGGCACAGAATTTCTTAGAAGAGAAGGGAGGATGGAATGGAACATCATCCAATTTAATAAGAATTTACTGCCTCAGCAGCTCACAGGATAATGAAGACAGAATAGTGCTTTATCAAGATGAGGCATTTTCCTTAAAGGTGAGCATGCCAAATAGGCTCCCTGGGTCAGGTTTGTTCCCTGAGTGTCTGCAAAGTTACAGCCTGACTAAAGGGCAGACTGACTTGCCCTCCCTCCCCTAGGAAAGAGCTCCTGTAAACAATGAATGGGGAAACGATAAAGTTAAAGAATGAGTAGTTCCTCGGTTGTCTTAGCTCAGGCTGCTATAATAAAATACTATAGACTGGGTGGCTTACTCAACAGACAATTATTTCTCACAGTTCTGGAGGCTGGAAAGTCTAAGATCAAAGTGTCAGCAGGTACAGATTTTGTTCAGGGCCCTCTTCCTGGCTTGCAGGCAGCCACCATCCAGCTGTGTGCTCACATGACTTCTTTGTGTGAGCACAGGGAAGAGAGAAAGCTCTGGTGCCTTTCTTCCTCTCCTTTTAAGGCTGCTGGTCCCATCATGCAGGACCCACCCCCACAACAACATCTAAATTTAATTACCGCCTAAAGGCCCCACCTCCAAATACATTGAGGGTTAGGAATTCAACATTGGAATTTTGGAAGGTCACAGTCATTCAACCCAGAACATTGGTTAATACCAGTTCCACAGTCTGGCCTGATAAATGCCTACCTTAAAGCTGTTCCAAGGGCTCTAACCTTCTCAAGTCTGCTTTCAACCTAATTTCCCATTCAAGTCGCCAGTCACTGCACTGTGAAGGCTTGCCCCAGGCCAGCAGACTTTTGGACTGGAAGAGGAGCACCTATGGAGGGCCACACCCTTCTGACACCAACACTCTTCATTCCTAGAAAAGGCCAACTACTGATGCCCCACCCCACACACAGGTAAACACACTCCACACAGAGAAATTAATAAAGACACTTCCAGACAACTATTTCATACTTTCTCCTCTCTCCTCAAAATTCCGATATCTCTGCCTTCCCACTTAGTCCCTGCTGAAGACCCTGTTTCCTATTTCATTGAGATGATAGAGACAATCTCTTGACTTGCCCTGAGCTCTCGACATGACTCTACATGCCTGCATCCTTGTCCAGGTATGGCTTCCCTCCTGTTACCACCAATGAACCGCTCATGCTCCTACCTCAGGCAGCTGGTACATGTGCACCACATCCCGGCTCCTCCTGACTAGATGAGGATATGGCTTTTGTCATCTGTTCCCTCTCTCACATACTCAATTTCTCCCTCTCTGCTGGATCACTCTTATTCGCATACAAACATTTCATAATTTTCCCCTTCTTAAAAAAAATATTTAATCCCACATTCCTTCTCCGAGGACCACCCTCTTTCTCTGAACCACCCTTTTACAACAAACTTCTTGAGAGTTCCCCATATTATAATTTTTCTTCTCCTATTTTCTTTTGGGCTTCTTAGGTAGAGCTGTCACCCTACCACTCCATTCAACCTGCTCTTGTCAAAGACACCAATGACTTTTGTGACACCAATGACCAAATTCAACGGTCACTTCTCAGTCCTCAACTTGCACAACCCATGAGTAATGTTTGATACAGTGGATCATTAACACCTTCTCTTGGCTTCCTCCTCTCACTGGTCCCTCCTGCAATCTCCTTTATTAGTTCCTCTTCAGCTCTGCCATCTCTGACAGGAACATGCCTCAAGGCTCAGTCCTTGGATGTTTTCTGTATTTATCCTGACCTCACAGTCTCAGGGCTCTAAATACCATCTATTCACTGACAACTGCCATATTTATATCTGAAGCCTTGTCCATAGACTCCCTATTCATATACCCAGATGCTCCTCTGCTGAAGGAGCTTTCTCACCTCCTTCAGGCCTTGACTCAAATGTCACCTTCTCAGAAATGACTGCCTGACAACCTCTAAATGCTCATACCCACACACACTCCTGATCCTTCATTCAGCTTAATTTTCCTCCATGATATTCCATGCCAACTAATACCCTATATAGTTTCCTTATTTGCCTATTGTCTCCACCCCATTGAAATGTAAACTCTTATAGGACTGCCTGGCACAGTAGGCACTCAAAATATATTTGGGCAATACATGAAAAAAAAGAGACATGGCAAACAATCTCTAGAAGGTCATTAGCCATAAAATATGGGTTCACGCATCCTAAAAACATTAATTGGGCATCTTCTATGCATAGACATAATCCAAGTGCTGGATATTCAGGGGTAATATAGACTCTTTGCCCTAAAGGAGTTTATAGACTATCTGGTAAAAAGAAACATAAGTAAGAGAAATGAACTATTATTATTATTATTATTATTATCATTATTATTATGAAATAGGTACACAAAAATGGAAACTGTCAGTTCTACTTGGGGAAAGAGAGTAGGAGTATGATGCCTCCTTCAATGAGTACATGAGACCACACAGGTTATAATGATCAGTTTCCAGGTCTGCTCTCAACTAGACACTAAGCTCAGTACCTGGCATGAATTAGTCACCCAATAAATGTCCCCAGGTTGCCAAATGGAGGTGAACTGAGATCATATATTTATCAAATAGATGAGGTTAGAGAAAGAGCATTCTAGGCAGAGGATGGGAAGCTTGGGAGGGGGGGTGACAGCATGAGCAAAGGCCAAGAGGGGGAGTCTAGCATAGCACCTCCACCTAGTGGTACAGGCCAAAAAGAAATGAGTATTTATAGATCCTCATAAAATTCTTAGGAAACGCTAGAACTTGCTCAAGAAGTGAGTCTACTAGTACACAGGGATGGTCCTGCTTTGCCTTCAGCGGTTCTCAACCTGTGGGTCGCGACCCCTGAAAAATACATCCTGCATATCAGATATTTACATTATGATTCATAACAGTAGCAAAATTACAGTTATGAAGTAGCAACGAAAATAATTTTATGGTTGGGGGTCACCACAACATGAGGAACTGTATTAAAGGGTCGCGGCACTAGGAAGGTTGAGAACCACTAAACTTTAGTGATAATTATAGTGCTACTACTGACGATCATCAGCATAAGTGCTAAGATTTATTAAAGTGCTTGAAAAGCACGAGTGCCTTACATGTTCACAACAACTCCGTGGCCCCCTTTTAATTCTGAAATACTATTTTGATCCACGCCTTAGAGCAAGTGGTCATGAGGGTCTAAGGTGCCAGCTCTATTTCCTCATGCCCACTGCGCCCTGTGCACCCTGACTTCTTTGCCTAAGATATAAACCTCCTAGTTCCACTACAAGGGCCTTATCCTGCTTCTGGACATAAAATTGTGATCTCAAATCACACGCCACTTTAAAAGTCAGAAAGCCTGAAAACCATGTTCTCACTGATCTCCAAGAAGCATTTTATTAAAGCAAGGAAGAAAACATTCAAATTATTGAGCTTTAGTTCCTCCAACAAAAGCCATCACATCAGACCTACCAAATAATTACATCTTCAGACATTTGGGAAATAAAACCTAGATAAAATGCATAATGGCAATGCAGTCCCCTAGGGTATTAAGAAAACTGGGAATAGTATTTGACTAGGTAGGGGAATTCAATTCATTTTGTCAGCCTCTAATACACAGAAATTCAAATCGATCAAAATTTTTCTTGAATTCTTACTATATGTTTGTCATATTCCAGCTGCTTTATAGCAATTATTTTATTTCATTCTGTCATGTTTTTTAGATTATTAGCTCAGTTTTACAGGTAAGGAAATTAAGTTTTAGAGGGTGAAGTAAAGAAAGTGTCATTTATCCATCAAATATAGTCCTATATTTCCATCTAGCATCTGATATAAAACCCAGCATGTAGTAAGTGCTCAAAAAATGTTTACTAAACCACATAAGTTCTGGGGGGAAACACAAAAATAAGAACATTGTGAGTCATGTAGCAAGAGGAGCTTTAGATTCTAGTACTCCAGGGGTTAAGCTAGGTTTCATGTGAACACTTCATAACTCATTATAAAACAATATTTTATTTTGAATGAATCAAATTGAAATTATGCCCACAGGTTCACGTCCTATTTCAGAAAATCAATAACAACTGAAATCAGTTCAAATTGGACACGTTTCTACCACTAAAATAAATAATGGGAGAGAAAATAGTAGATGAAAACTACAATCTTAATGAATAATGAAAAGAACACAAAAACCAAGAGTTTCCAATGAAAAACACATATAAAGAACAACACTGGAGGAAATTCTGTAGTTGGCTACTTCTTGAGATCTGCATGGGCCTACCAACTCGTGCTGCAGGTACAGGTTTAAGCCTCTCAACCTCATCTCACAAAGCATGACACTGAGAATTTACTTTTCCTGAAAACAGTATCCCAACCTTCAGATCATTGGATTGGACCTGATGTAAGCTGAAAAGCACTTCCACCTAATTCCTATAGCCCCTCACCTAGTCCCACCCCATTCTTCTAACCACAGAAAAGGCAAAGAGACCTAAAAGAAAGATCAACAATGGCTCCGGGTGAAAGCTGGTTTCTACAGAGAAGGAGCACCAAATAAGGGCCATCACAAGTAAAGAATTTGCAGGCCTGGTGACTCTACTAGCACCCGGGACAGAAACACACACAGTGAGGCTTCATGGTGCATGCTTCCTTGTAGGAAGGTCTGGCACAATCCCAGTACAACATGGTCGCTTGTTATTCCATGGGCAGCACCAGATTCACAATGTTATTCTGAAGATAAAAACTCCACAAACAAAATTCAGTATTTTATAAACTTCAAAATGAATTCTAGCCCCCACATCCATCATAAAAGTAATCTACAAGAAGCTCTCTACATTGACCAATTCTTAGATTTGTTTATCTGAAATTCAGTTTGCTAACCCACAAGAACTCATTACAATACGATGACTCAGCCTTGAGCTTTTTCTAAGTCACTGTGCCTTTCTCTCCTAAAAAAGAGCACCAGAGAACAGCAATTTTGTTCTTTTTACCTTTAAATCCCTCCGCACTTACCTCTGCGACATAAAGGTCCTCCATAATCATTTGGGAATTTGAAGTGAATTAAGTCCTGTGGGCGCATGACTTTTTTTCTGGATTTTCTGGGACAATCTTTCCTGACTGTGTGCCCTGGTTTGTTTGTTTGTTCAAGGTTGGACCTTGATTGCAGAGGCCAAGTTAATGGCCTAATACCAGCATGGGTCTCACACCCTGATGTATTTTTCTGTAAAATATGACACAGTTGGTGTAGCCAATAGTGAGGTGAGGTAATTTAACTTAGATTTCTTTCTTTTTCCTTTGGATGTTTAATTTTTGCATGTTTGTGTGGGGGGTGGGGAATAAAGAGGAGGAGGTCACCATGCCAATTCAATGCACTGAATTATCCTTTTTAGTAGATATGATAAAGTTTGGAAGGCAGACCACACAAGGAAGGGGCCTGCTCAGAATCATCTCTATTACATGAGAGATTTATGTTGAATGAGCAAGTGTTTTTATCTAACAAAAGAACGAAAGGGTTCAAATTTAGTCAGACACTGGTATAAGGCATTGATAATAAAACACAACTCCATTCTTAAATGAGCCAAGCAGTCGGTAAAGATGGAATTTTTGTGAAGGCAGGCAAAATTAGGACATTTTAGAGCAGAAGGTCAGATGGCCCTAAATATGTAGAGAGGAGAGGGTGGGAAGAAATGCCCAGGGCCTTAGCTTGGCAACAGGTCCACACCCGCCTCTTGGCTTTCCCTCTCCTGGTCACCCTTCCTGCTGACTGGAGTTCCTCAAACGCACCATTCCCCCCAGGCAATTTCCACTCCCTGGAGAGCCTCTGGCAACCGCACTCTCTTTCTCTACCTGGCCAATGTCATCCCTAAAAACCAGCCATGCCACCTCCTCCAGAAAGCCCTTCCTGCCTCTTTCCTCCCCACCTCAATCTTACCTAGGACTATTTCAAAGACAATAAACTTGAGCTTCTTCTAATTAAATTCAGTCCTCTCGCCCCTAGAGGTTCAATCCAGTCCTTAATCCAAATAATTGATTCATTCAGTAGACATTTATTGGGGTTTACAGAGCACCAGCACTGTGCTGAGCCATGGGGAAGAGAAGATGAAGACGACAGGCCCAGCAGCCAAGGCAGTGGACAGCTTAATAGCAGAGAGAAATCCAAACAGTGAAAACAGCAAGTCTCCAAGCGCACCAGTAGAGAATGACTCAGTGCAATCAGCATGTCAAGGAGAAAGCAATGACATTGAATCCTAGTCCCTCATAAACTGCAGGAAACAGAAAGACCAGGATGTGCAATAAAACACCAAAGAGCCCCCTTTCCATATTTGCTCTGAATGTGGGAATATACAATGTTCTCGAGCTTTCTCTAACATGGTGCTATTGAAATAAGACAAGCCTCCAGATATAGGAAGATTTGGGGACAAATTCCAGCTTGGTCGCTTACTAGCTGTGTGACATGGGTTGTTACTGCATCTCTCTTTGCTTCAGTTTCTTCATGGGTATGAAAGGTTTTAAGTACCTAGCATACTACAAACATTGGTTGTAAGGATCAACTACAAAGGTCCTATTACAGGATCGGGAATAAAACATAACCTCAGTAAACACTGTTTTCCCCTTCTTGCTTAGGATCTAATTCTCCTACCAGCATTACGTGTCCAGCACATCTGCAAGAAACCCTAATGTTATGTAATCATATGTAAGATGAAAATACAAAATGTCACGATATCTGTGGCTAAATATAGGGGGGACAGATATTATCAGAACCCTGAAGAATTAAGTGAAACGTCCAAGACTTGTGCACTAACCTTTAATGTCAATTCTGCTGCTAACCTCTCTGTCACGGTGCTCCATCACCTCACTTGCAATGTATCCTCCGAAAAACAGTATCATGAACTTCCCACACCAGGAAGTTTCAACCTTTTCATCTCACAACACACATAAACTAATTACTAAAAATTCTGCAGCACATCAAAAATATATTTTTGCTGATTGGACAAAAAATAGATATAATTTTGATTCATTCACACTGGATGGCTATTGTTGTGTTGCTGCTGTCAATTTTTTTGTTTTGACAACCTAAGAGAAAAGAGGTACTGCCTGACTATTTATTTAAAAAATTCTTGTGGCACCCCAGTTGAAAATCTCTATTCTATATAGCAACTACTATGAGATGGTATATAGGCTAAATAAAAAATATTGTCCACATTTAAAATCATTTTTAATATATTTTTATTTATTCTTTTATTGATTTCAGGGAGAGAGAGATAGAAACATCAATGATGAGAGAGAATCATTGATCGGCTGCCTTCTCACACCCCCACATCGAGCCTGCAACCTGGGCCTGTGCCCTGACCAGGAATCGAACATTGACTTCCTGGTTCATAGGTCGATGCTCAAACACTGAGCCACGCTGGCTGGGCTTTAAAGTCATTTTTCTACAATTACTTAAATTCTCTCAAGTCAAGACAGCCCAATGGACACTGCCAGCAGCCTGACTTGCATTTAACATGAAAGTCATTGGCCTTAATTGCATTTAGTTAAGTTTCCCATCTGATTATGAATTTAAATTTGGGGAGGCTTACAGAGAAACCCCAAAGATCTGCTTCCCCAATAGTCACTTGGAATCTGCTCAAATCTTCCCAAAGGGGAAAAGGCTGGGCCTCCTGCTACTTTGTCCACATGCCCACCCTCCACTACCACCACCTTATACACCAACATTCACTCCTCAAATGACTAGGTACTATATTCCAACATCGGGAGTCAAGTACATTGCACCAACTTTTAAGGCAATCATAGTCAAATTAGTAATGGTTGAGGATTCTCTTAGGGCTCCTGTCTGCCCCTTGCCAAGGGATGTGGCCGCCATGAGCTAATCACAGGGGGGCAAAGAGCCAGAGGGAAGCAGAAGCTCTGGCCCGGGAACAGCAGGAGGCGGAGTAAAGAGAAGGA